GTAGATCAAGACGTCTTCTACGAAATCTTCCTCCTCCTTGCTCAGGACAGTCCCGGGACCAACCCTCGCATCTATGGCCACCTTGTTCTTCACACGGTCGTGCAGCGAGGCTAGCGGTAACCCGTAGGTCCTCGCAGCAACGCGGAGCGACATCTCACCGCTGCGTACCGCATCTACAGCCTTCTGGGCCTGCTCTGGGTCTACTCTCTTACGTCCCATGCTTAGCAGCAGGACCCCGAAAAGGGCAAAGATGCCCCACATAAGGGGTGTGGGTGAGGGCTGTGCTGTATCTCGGGAGTGCTTGACCCGATCGACACGCGGAGGTGCTCAAACGAAAGCTAACGGAAAGCTGAAGATTTCAAAAAAAAAATTGGGGGGCTCCGCGCATTGTGCGCCGAGGGACGTGCATTTGAAAAAAGTGTTCGTTAAAGGGGGGGTGTTCGTTAATACCCTGGTTTACTCTAGCACCCTTACGTGAAAGCGGAGCAACCAAACCGCGTTTCGGGGTGTATATATTTTCGTCATCAACTTACTTTTTGTGTGTGATGTATGGGGGGCATGTGCGGCGCGGGAGAACATATGAATACATTTACCTTGTTGTGTAATGAATGGCATGTCGTTCAATGTGAGAAGGGCACGGGAGAACATCACCTCATCATTGATTGCCTCCTGACGTGGCCATCGATAGAGGCGTGTGGTTGGGGTTTCATCACTGACATGTGGGTGTGTGTTAATTAAACGCAGTGGGTATGGTCGTCTCTCTCGCCCGTGTGTCGGCAGAAGGTATAGCTACTCATTTTGTTTTTTCGTGAAGCAGGCGCGAGTGGGTGACAAGGTCGGACCCTGTTATACATACACGTCATGGCGTTCTTCACACTTTCGTTCTTCTGTAATCGCGCGATTAACTCTAACTAAATGAAGGCAAGTATGGAAAAGAACGCATCGTCACGATGATGAGTTGAATGATGCCGATGGTGGCTACCTGCTGCTGCTTGCTGCTCATTGATCTAACATTTTTGAAGGGCAACAAAAATAAACGGTACACTTTTTTTATTACAAAATTTAACTAAATGTCCTTGTAGGAGCCCCTTAAATTATTAACGTGGACTTTATTAGAAGCAAAATGTGCAGATGAATGGACGTGCAATCACATTTTGCCAAAAAACGCGCACTCGCAGTATGAAAGGTTCGAGAAAGAACAATCTCGAAATCAAAAGCGAGCTGTGATTGGTTGAGGGTAAGGGCAAGTCCACAGTAGCCCTTTTTATCCAGAGCGAAGGATTTAAACTCCTTGTTGAAGCCACATATAAATCGAGTATTGTTTGAGTTTCCTGATCAACAGAGCCGATTTTCCTTTTTTCGAACGTCGATGGTACGTACGTTGGGGGGGGGGGGGGGCCAGTCTTCAGTGACAAAAGCGACCATTTAGGCTTGGATCTTGTACGCTGGAGTGGGATGGGATGGAATAGAGGGCTCCGACGTGAGATTCATGCGCACACATATGCGTGAGTTCCAAAACAGTTGATTGGAATTTAAGGGTCGGTTCGCAAAACGAATGACTGTGAACAGAGGGAAAGTTTCGCTGTTGGCTAGGCGCCAAGTACCATTGTCGACAGGAAAAGCAGAGTAACGGGACGGCCAAGAACGGTCGAAAGAAAGACGCAAGGGATTGGTGTTGAATTTTATGCGCTGTTCACGTCACTTTGTGTTCGACCCACTTTCAAGTTTTCGAGCTGTGCTCTCACGCGCATCATCTCAGGATGATGACCACCTGGACGACAACGTCTCGCATGCATGCATACTACTGCCGTTGTCGTTTTCGATTGGTCGCACACAGAAGAATTTTTGCTTGGTGATCTTATCAACTGCTTTCAACATAGCCACAACGCAGAATAGCTGATTGGACACCACAAAACACATCAAACCG